CTGAAGTTGGACTGGAAATATTCAAAATAATTTGCCCAAAATGGCGGCCAAAAAAATTTAAATTTATTGGATTCGTTTAAAACTTTACAGTTAGTTATGAACCCGAAATCAGATTGGAAAAATTGAAAAGGGCGGATTGTTATTGGATCTACCATTTACCAAAGAACAGCTACGTTCGAACGTACGTACATGGCGTATGAGTAACATTCCCATCTCTTCTGGGTAACTCATACGCCATACACATATGTACATATGTACCATCTATTTGAAAGTAATATCTACCTAACTAAATATGTTTGTATGTGTATTTCAAAACGGAGATGTCAAATTAAAGAACTGGACATGTAGATGTGCAATAAAGTTTTTGAAGTTATAACTTTTTTTTACTTTTTTCGATACAGAGTTATATAAAATTGTATGAAAAGAACAACCGACCCCATGCGGCACCTCTCTTCACTCAGAAACGGCTAAACGAATTTACATGAAACATTTAGAATATTAAAGGATTTTAATAGGGTTGCCACCTGTTCTACATATGTCCTGATGTACCCAATGAGCGTTTTAAGGCTTTTCGAGGTTAGGTTTATATGGGAGCTATGCGTTAAAATAAGCCGATTTCACGATTTTTTTGAATATACATATTGTCAAAAATTTCGACGTGAAATTTTCATTAGTGCGATTTTTATGACATTTTTAGTCCATTTTTGAGGTTAGGCTCATATGAAAGGTATGCTTTAAAATAAAACGATCACGCCAATTTTTCTTACCATTCCTGATGATTCTGATGTGCGTAAAAATTGCATATGAAAAATTTATTCCCTACGCCAACTGCTTCTAATTTTTCCTACAAATATATGGGGATCCCCCACAGTGCGGCGGAGGAGACCATAGTGCTATGTACGTATCCAAGTATGTATTTACATATTTATATATGTATACATAGTTGAAATGAAAACTCCAGCTTTGCGGCTAAATTTCAATTTTTATATCAATTATAATTTTTCTGCTGCTCGGCATTAAAAAACCTAATGGATTTGTGCAGTCTTCTCGAAGGGTTATTTACTGAAGAGCTGCATTGCCGCAATTTTTCGACAAAGTCGCCACAATTTTTGTTTTTAGCTGTTATGCTTAAAATTCAAGAAATGAACTAAGAAAGTTGTTAGCAGAAGTCAATCAACGTTTTATTAACTTACATACTATGAGTAAATGGTTCAACTGCGCAGAAAACATTCACTCCATTCTGCCTTCTTTCATTCTTCTTTGAGCTGTCATAATTTCTACTTCTTCTTCATCAAAATTTTCAAGCTTTCGCTGTTTCGAAGTTTTAGCCATAGTTTGTTGCAACGAACATTTTTTGTTTGCATAGCGTTACAGCTATTGCTTTTGTTGACGTTTAAGTTTTTTCAACCACTGCCGAGTTACTTTGCATTCGGCTTATTAAGAAGTTTAGCTAAAAAGCTAATTAAGTTGTCAGTCAAAAAGTTACGAAAATCATTCGGTTATTTTTTTCAATTATTAATTATCGCTGCTTTTTTGATGTTCTTCCGTCGTTAAAACAACTCTACGAATATTTATTCAAATTAATTTAAATAATAGTTGAGACCCGGGTAGCTCCGACACTTTTTTGAACTCCCATATCCCAAAACATATTCAATAATATAATAAGTAAATAACCAAAGAAAGATTTGATTACAGATTTGTTCTCTGGATTAAGTTGTAACGTTCTACTCCTTTTATTAAGCGACTTCACAAAAAGGAGAAGGTTATCAGTTCGTCGGAATATTTGGAAAGGAGAGGTGTTACCTCACAGGTAGTCCTATACTAATTTGGTTTAAATCCGATCATTGGATCATGTAGACATTAAGGATAATCTTAAATTTTTATATGAGAATTCAAGTCGATTTTGTTTTTTGCTTAAAAATTACTTGTTTATTTAATATTAATTGTTTTCGAATTTATAAAACCTAAATAAAACAGGGACTGTTATCATGATGAGTTCTAATGTTTAATCATTATTTTAAGATTTTAGAATTTGCGATCAATAATAATAACAAATAAACAAACTGTCAGTGCATTCGTGCCTTGGCGCTCACTCCACTCTTGACCGTTATAATTTTGAGAAAATAGAGCATTTGTTTTACTTGGGAACTAGCACTACTTTGGACTTTGTAGGAAATTCGGGAGTAAAGTCCTCTCTTGACGTACGAAAACCACACTCTATAAGCCACTCTTCATGCCCGTGGTGGTATATAGGGCAGAAGCATGGCCATTGGTTTAGCCATTTGGTTCGAATGGAAGCTAATGCTCCAGCTCTGAAAGTATTCAACTCGAAACCCGCTGATGGTAGCAGAGGAAGGAAGACCAAGGCGCCCACTGCGATGGAAAGACCAGGGGGAGAAGTACTTGGCTTCACTTGGCGTTTCCAATTGGCGTCAGTTGGCACAAAAGAAAAAAATGACAGGCGTGCTTTGTAGAACTCGACCAAATTCGCTTAGGTGGTTACAGCGCCAAATAACAAGAAGATCAATAATAATAATAAATTTCTGGGTTTTATTTTATTTTTAGGTAATATAAATTATCTAACGAGTTATATTTTTTTTGATCAAATATAAAAAAAAATTTTCGTGTTTTGTTTTTTGCTCGGAAATAAGTATTATTTTATGAGTTTAATTTGTTTTCCAGAACTAGCGTGGTTATCAGGTTATCTGATTAAAGATTACACGGTGCTACAAAACAAAGTCATGAAATACACCCGAAATAAAACCTAGGTAGGTTGTAGCTATATATAAAAGTAGGCTTCTAAACCATCCATTTTTATTTTAAAACAACCGTTATGTTCGTACTTGATTCACTTACATATCTATTAACAAATTGACTATTTTTCATTCCACTTTAAAAACAAAATAAGTTTTGAGAAGAAGATTTATAGACCTTTGAAATAATGTATAGCAACATATTTTTAGACTTAGCTTGTGAGGAGTTTTCACCGGTTAAACTTTAACAAAACCACTATTTTTCTAAATTTTTTTCAGCTTTGACCGTCGCTGATTTCACAAATGACTATGAAAGTGGCTAAACATGTAGTACTTACCTAAAAGAACACTTATTTTCGAATAAATTGATACCTCACCTAATGCAATTGCATAAAAATTGTCGAAGTTAAGCAAAAATGCGGCCGTGAATTTATTTGTGTGTATATGCCGGACGTTCAGATTTTTTGAGTAGTGTGGCTAAGGAGTTAATTAATATTAGATATAGGTTTTGTTTCGGGTGTCATGACTTTTTTGTAGCAATGATTTTTAAGTTATATTCTTTTGATTGAAAATAAGGCGCAGTTCTTGAGCGGTATTTTATATCTCAGAAAAAAAACTAGTTTTTCAGTTTTATTTTTGTTGACAGAATAGTGTCACACGCCTTTGATCTACCAAAAAAAAAGGTATTTTTTTTTTGGAAATTTATCTTTTCAATTGAGCATGTTAAACTTTATAATATTACGGTGCTACATAAAAATTGGTTGCATGTACTTTTATGTCATGTAGTAGAGGCAGTAGATTAGGTCTAAAAAATAATTATGGCATTAGCAGCTTTTTAAATACCACCCCAGAAACCTAAGTTATGATGAAAAACCCGAAAATGTAGATGTTGGGTCAAAACACCGGTTATAAATTAGACATTTTTCAATGTATTATCTTATTCGTGGAAAAGCGTAGCAAATTTAAGTTTAGTTGATAACCATTGATTCCGTGAACCAAATATAATAATAATAATAATAGATTGGCGCTTACACATATGTTAGTGTTTGGCCGAGCTTCTCTTCCGACTTGTGGCGTGCGCCTTGATATTGTCACACAAAGCGGAGGGACCTACAGTTTTACGCCGACTCCGAACGGCGATTTTTATGAGAAGCTGTTTTTCATGGCAGAGTACACTCGGCCGTTGCCTGCCGACGGATGGCCGCTGTTTCTATATTTTTTGCGATGTTGGTTGGGTTTGAACCCGGCTGCTGCGGAGTGGAAGCGCGCACTGCTTACCACTACACCACAGCGGCCGACATTAAACCCATACCTAATTCTTTATCTAAAAAACAAACTATATTTTTCCCTCTTTAAATGGGAATAGCCCCATTGATGATGGAAGAATGCATGATGAATGTTGATTATACAAAAAATCTTTGAGTTGTAAAGATTTTACTGATTTCGTTATAGCTGCTTAAAAATTCACGTCTACGAGAGGTGCCACGCCTACTTGTCAGTCATCAGTTAAAGTCACATGGAATTTTATTCAGTAATTTCGCAGACTAGTGTGTTCAAACAGACAGGCAAACAAAAATTTTAAAAATGGTCCATATTTAATATATAATGTTCCCTGCATCGCCCTCGGCCAGTTTTTTTTTAATTCAATGTACAAACACGACTTTTCTAAAGTTTTATTACAGTATAGAGAAGATGTTGGCTGTATTCATTTGACGATTTATGCGGTGGAAGCATTTAGATATAAATATTGTTTTTTTTTCTTATATTATATATTAGAATTGTTGTGTAAAAATACATGAAATCTGAGGATATATGTACATATGACTTATTTCTGAATTAAAAATTGAGAACGCCTAACACAAGCACAGAGGCATCGTCGTACGCAAATACAGGCTAGGGAGGGTGCAAGCCCCCTAAATTCCAAAGTTTCACTATAACTTTCCTTCTATGCATTTCACAATCAATTTTCAATTCGAACAATTAAGGCTATAAATGAAAATGTGGTTCAAAGTTTGAACTCGGTTAAAAATAATAAAATTTCGAAAAATCTATATTTTTCTATACAAATGTGAATTTCGTTCCATAAAAAAATTGAACTTTTGTTAACTGAGCACTGAAAATATAAATATAAAAATTATCTCTTTATCCCTTTAAAGAAATCCAGTAAGGCAGCTCAAATATTTTGTACTGCTCTTATTACTCCACCTGGTACAATTCCGCATGCATAAATAATAAAACGTCTCTTTCTAAATTTTGTATTTAATTGTTAAGTACTAATAGCATGGCACAGAAATACATTTTTCTTTTTTGTTAAACTGTATAAACAAACTCAGCAACAATTTCTGTTGGCACAGCATTGTTCCTTGGGTCCATTCTTGCAGCAGCAATTGCAATCCTTATCACAGCAACAATTATCACCACATTTGGTGGAGGTACATTTGCAGGCTGAAATAACAAAACAAAAGAAAACAACAATTTAGGATACTCGATTTTTAGTAAATTCAAGGAGGATTAATATTCATTAAATATTTTATAGTTTCTTAAAAAAAAATTATATGTATTTAAAAAAGATCACTAAAGAACTAATAAAATATAGGCCACACTTTTATAATTATGAAGCACTACTTACTGTTTATACATTGTTTGCAGACCATTTCGTTTGTAAGTTATTTGCTTAGCTACTCTTTTTTTTAAGTAAATAAATTCCTCTTACTTTGTGTTTTTCTCAAACTCTGTTGAGTGAATGTTGTTCGGTGAGAAAACAAACTGATTTTTATACCTAAACTGACCTACTCAATATCTACATACATATAAACAAACGCAATCTTTTCTAAACCGTCGTCGCCGTGTGCAAAGCTAATGAGTCTACCTTTGGTGCTTTTGGCACTCTTTTATCAATTATTTTACAGATAACCTTTTTGCACACTGCTGTTATTACGATCGACGCTAAATGAAATACCGGACTTTTGGTAGCGCTCTGGAAGGAGACTTCAGCAATAGTATTAGTAATCTTAACAATGTACGCAATATTAAGCAAATGACGAATGTAGATGACTTAGCTCAAATTTAGTTTAACACTATTTTATAGATATTTACTACATTACGATGATGAGTATTAACGAAAACCCCACTTTTCTGGGTTCTCGTGGAGTTGTTGCCAAAAATCTTAGGAAATATTAAGTTGTTTCTATTTAATTTGATGTATTATACTACACTAGAAGCCGTATGACGGCAAAACCGTGATCAAGAAATTGCACATAACAGAAGATATTTTCCGAAATTCTTCGAAAAAATCAGTAAATTATCAAATCTTTTTCCGTTTACAATATTTCATCTAAATCCGTCCAGAGTGCTGTCGCATGGTATCGATTTTTCATTTCAAAAAATTCATCGCCTAAACTGTTTCTTTATTTTTGAGAATAAAAAAATATGTATAGATAGGTGCATTCGAAAACGTCAAAATGCCAACCATCATTTTATTTCTGAACTATAAGAAAAAGTTTAACTTGCACAACCTAGTTGAAAACTAGCATCTCACCGTAGTTGCGCATATTTGGCATTAAAATCTACTCAGGTTTAGAATAAAAGAGACTGACGCTTTGTATTTTGACTTTTAAAATGCACCCTATATTTGTGTTAGTTTTATTCAGTAATAACCCCAAAAATATATACATAAACATATATATGTTATATCATACAGGATATAACTTATTTAACAAAATTAAAAAGAAAAAGTAAGGAAAACTTGTCTATTGCAAATTGGTCGAAACGAACAATAGAGCTTCCTAAAAAGTGGTTCGGTCTTCGGTTCGGATCAAAAATTTATGGAAAATTTTGGTTCGGTAAATGGTTCAGTTAATTAGTTAGTAAATAACGGTTAATAAGGTTCAAACCGGGTTCACGTCCCTGGTATCAATTGAGATAGGCCTCCCTGACTTTTTAAGATTTTTGTGCAGCCTTTTTCGAGACATCCACTTCTGAAAGAAAGTTTTTTTTTTAATAATTTGGTTTAGATCCGATTATTGGATCATGAAGAAATTAAAGATACTTTTTCTATAAGAATAGAAGTCGGTTTTGATTTTTCGAAAAATTACTTGTTTGACTTTTTGTTTTTAAAACAGTTTGGAATACACCTAGGTAAAATAAAAAAAAATTCAAAACCGTATTTTTAATATAAATTGTTGATTTCCTAAAAAGACGTACTGATCTAGTCTCTTAAAATTTTTTTTGTAGAACACTGTGGCTCACTCCGCAATTTTTAACCCAGTGCGATGTGGATTATTTTACAACAAATTTTATGAAAATCGCAAATGTATAGGCATTTAAAAAAAAATTAACGTTTTTTTCAAAATCGATATCTTGACAACTTTTGGACGAAAAAATAGTCAAAATAAGTCAGGCCTCTCTCGGTTGGTAGTATAACATAAAAAAAAAAAAATTATAAAAAAAATCGGAGGTGCAAAAGTCGAATGGTGTCCGAATTGGGCTGGAATGTCCCATATGTTCATAGTTAGTCAAATCAAAATATTTTCAAACTAAAGCTTTCTTAAAACTCTTGCGTTTGAAATCTATAAATTAATATTTGATATAACTTGGGTATAATTTAATTCAATTCAAATTTTAAAACAGGTGGCAACACCTTATTCAAAATATTTTCAAGCGACTGCCTTGTTAAACCTCTTTCATCTTGTGATACATATTTCAATTACCTATTACCTAGAATTTAAATTTAATTTTTAACAGGTGGCAACCCTCCGACATTTAGTTAAGAAATAAAGCTTTAGGTTGATTACCATACTGTAATAATTGATTTAATTTTTTAAATTATTTGATTTCAATTTTTTTAAAGTTGGCAACCCTTTTAAAAAAAGTAAAAGTAGGCAAAACGGTTACTCCCAAAATGATTTGGTACGTTGGTACGTTGACTTTGATTTTCGTACTTTTCAATAAAAGCGACAGATCGGGAAAACAATATTTATATATTTCCATATATTTTTAAATTTTTCTATATTATATTTTTATTTTTCAACTAAAACTTCAGTAATTAAATCGTTCTTTAAAAAATCTTTCAAAAGTAATCGCCAGGCCGTCAATGTTATGTAAACATCGACTAACACTGGGCATTCCTACAATTCTTGTTCAATTTGCAATATGCGCTATGATTCTCGATAGTTTTTCGAGTCGTTCGATAACTAACCTCAATGTTTGCTGGGAAGACGGATGAGTTTTTAAGGAGAGACGGAGAAGTAAGAAAATTAAATTAATTTAAATTAATTAATAAATTTATTAAATTTGTGGTTTGTTTGCAGATTCATTATTAAAAAGGAAAGGGCGAGTTACATTAATTCAGCTAAAGAAACCTCAAACGTAGAAGGCATGTCAGAAACGTACATAAGTATTTGCGGATTTTTATAAAATACACTATGCGACAGTCAAAATCGGGATGGGATGAAACCAACGGGAAATGTTATATCGGTCAAAAACAAGTTATACGTGGCCCGGCGTTTCGCGTTTTTTTTAATTTGTTTGAGCAAAATCGGACTAGTGGTTCTCGAGTTATGTCAAAAAAAAGACCACCAAAGGTGACAATTTCCCCTATATGATAGTTACTAACTTCAAATCGATGTATCTCGATTCCTAGACGTGACCCAGCGAAACGCCGGGACACGTATAACTTCTTTTTTACCGATATAACTTTCCCCGGTAGTTTGAACCCTTCCCGATCACTGACCCCTACCATTTGTCTCACAGTGATATCTGTAATTTTTCTATTTTAAACTATGTAGATATTTTGTAGTGTTAAAAAGAAAAGAAAGTTTCGAACTGAGGGGCCCACCAATTTTGCATGTATTCCAAAGACGGTGCAGCCTTTTGTGAGGTACATATGCAATAAAGCCGCAGTGGACTACAAAACTGCATACTCAAAAAGGTTCTAAAGAATTGAAAATTTGAATGGGAATTTATTGAATCTTCCTGAGTTTTGAACGGAGTTCAGAAATTATATTTTTATGTTTTTTGTTATAGTATGAACTAGAGTTTTATAAAAAAGAAAAAAACAGAGGAAAAAATTAAAATAGAAAATTTAATAGTTTTTAGATAATTTTTGGCAAACATTGGGGGGGGGGGAATATGTGGGTGGTAACACTGGTTTTGATCCATATTCCGCTTAACTACAGGCCAAGCACCTAAATTTTAGACCGTATTATATATGTAGCCAGTCGGAATTTAATAGTTCTTATACGATATATTTAAATTAAGTTATACATATTTCTCCCGCTAATTTATGGGAGCGTTAACAATGCAAGCTTGGTGTAGGGAATGCCATTTTTTAACTGTTCTTCTGTCTATAATATAAGATTGAAGCACAGTTTCTGGTTCATAATAATAATTTAAAGGTTTTTCAGCTTCGAGTGCAACTACTTAAGTATTAAAACTTCACTCCAAGCAGATATGTAAACAAAATAACAAAAAAAAAACAATCTCAACTCCAAGTTGATATTGTAAACGCAACTCAAAAGTCAATTTTGTTCGGCGATGATGAGAAAGTTTAATTTTTTTTTATACAAGCATGTCGTTACCACAATATAGAAAGGCCCTAGCTAACATCGTCGCAGAAATGCAAAAAAGCCGTAACTAACAAAAATTATTTATTGCATCAATCGATGTAGGGATTCATAATTCGATGAAATGCATCACAATCAATCAAAAAATTAATTTTGAATTTTCAGTTAGTTACGGCTTTTTGTATTTCAGCCACGATGTGAGATAGGGCCTTTCTATATAAATATATCGCAAAACAATCGCAATCGTATTCCACTGCAAGCAAAAACAGCTGTGTGCAAAATACACTCTGACTATTTATGTTTAACAATTGATAAGGCTGTGTGGCTAAACCAAGAAGGAATATTTCATTAGCTTTGCACACGGCGATGACGCTATAAGTTAGCTTATAGTAATTCATACATAGTTGGGGGGTTCACAACGGTGTCGTAATTGTCGTATTGTTGCATGGCGTAAACTTTTTTCAATTTTTCAATTTTTCCTAATAAACAATCGTGGTACAAAGCTCAATAAAAATATTAAAAGTAAACTTTAAAAGCTTAAATAAATGTTTAGAGAACTTAAAACCACAATTAACTATTTTTTAACACTGTGAAAATTCATAATATGACTGTGATAGTACTTTGCGAACCCTCTTAATATATTTTTTAGGCGTTTAAAGTTTACGACATACAACAATACGACACTTACGACACGGTTGTGAATACCCCAAGTATGTATGTTTTTACATATGTTTGTAAGCACTTGCTTAGCATTTTATCTATAAAAAGCTTTGGATTTTCAGTGAACAACAGTCGTGCATTGCAAGTTGAGAAAATACCAAACAAAAAAATTTACCATTTTACTGCAAAAATTCTAACTAAGAAATAATAAACAAAATGGTCTGTAAGTAATGCATAGATGGTAGGTTCCTTATAACAAGCAATTTAATATGTGCATATGCCAAAATACTACTTCCATTCAACATTTTTTAGTTTTGAAACGCTTGATTGTCAATATGTATTTTTAACACTTTTTATTATATTTTATTTTAACTACAGCGTGCAGATGCACCAGCACTATGTGCGGCGACAATTGCTGTTGTGATCAGAACTGTAGTTGCTGCTGCAAGAATGGACCAAAGGAAAAATGTTGTGCCAACAAAAATTGAAGCAATTTTAGCGAGGTTTATGCCATTGTTTGTGCGATTTAAAAAAAAATATATACAAATTAAATAATGGATCACTTCATTAATACACAAGCAATTGTTGTTTTGTTGTTGATTTTTAGATTCAAGAGTTCGTATATCCGGATATTCGGGTTTTTAATCA